TGGCAGGGGTCCAAGCCACCCTAGCAGGGACTGAAGTAACAGAGAACGTGAAGGTACCACGACAATATGCAGATCTCCGTGACGTCTTCAGCGAAAGGGAAGCTGACCAACTACCCCGCATAGACCCTTTGACTGTCAAATCAATTTACTCCCTGGAGCACAGCTCCCTGTAGGCAAGCTGTACGCCATGTCAGACAGAGAGATGCAGGAGTTAAGAGAGTTCATTGACAAGAACCTGAAGAGAGGGTTCATCAGAGAGTCCAGGGCGGTGGGGGCAGCCCAGTGTTTTTGTGGATAAGAAAAACACGAACAAGCCGAGGCTGGTGTGTGACTTCAGGGCCTTAAATGCAGTGTCAGAACCAGTAGCCTTCCCTATGCCCAGGATTGACGACATTTTGACAAGGGTGCGGAAGGGAAAGATTTTCACAAAGCTGGACCTAAGGGGGGCGTACAACCTGGTACGAATAAGGAAGGGGGATGAATGGAAAACCACTATGTTCACCCCTTTAGGGGCATTTGAATATTTGGTTATGCCCTTCGGCCTACAAGCAGGCTCCGCAACATTTCAATCGTTTATGAACCACGTCCTGGGGCCTTTGCTTTACAAGAATTGTGTGGCCAGACGACGTGTTGGTGTATTCTGAGAATGAGGAGCAGCATGTGAGAGACGTCAGAGAAGTGTTGAGCAGGCTGCAAGCCAACCAGCTGTGGGTGAAACTGGAGAAGTGTCAGTTTCATACCAAGGAGGTGGAATTCCTGGGGTATCGCCTGTCAGACAAGGGATTGGCCATGGATCCCGGCAAGGTCCAGGCGGTGCTGGAATGGAAAACACCCAAAACAAAGAAGGATGTGCAGAGGTTCCTAGGATTTGGGAACTTCTATCGTAAGTTCATCCGAAACTTTGCCCACCTGACGGCGCCCATTACGGACTGTCTCAGCAGTAAGAAGAAGTTCGTGTGGACTGAGGAGGCGGAGCGAGCATTTGAGGAACTAAAAGGGCCTTCGCCTCGGAACAACAACTCCTGCATGTGGATTTACAAAAACCGATGAGAGTGGAAACTGACGCATCAGACAGAGCGATTGGGGCGGTGCTTCTGCAGCCAGGGAAGAAGGGGTCAGAGTGGAGACCGTGTGCCTTTTTTCGCGAAAGCTGAACAAATCCGAGAGGAACTACACGGTGTATGACCGAGAACTACTAGCCATTCATGAGGCGTTCCGGAGATGGAGGCACCTGCTAATTGGCGCACAACATAAGGTGCAAGTGTGCACTGACCACAAGAACCTAGAGTATTGGAGGACGGCACGAGTGCTCAACCAACGGCAAGTGAGATGGGCCCAGGAGTTCTCCAAATTTAACTTTGAGATTAGTTACGTGCCAGGCCCAGAGAACATTAGGGCGGACGCTCTCTCACGCAAACCTGAATATTTGGAGGGAGGGGGCACCCGAAGAGAGACATGTCATTCCAGAGGACCGCTGGGTGTGTGGGGCGGCATTGGTGGGACAAAGAGAACTGGTAGAGGAAACAGAGAATGATGAATACGCCCAGAATAAGCTCAGAGGTCTTAGGGGTGAGGGAGAGGAAACAGGGGGTTTCGAGGAAAGAAATGGAGCTTTGTATTACAAAGGGGCACTGTATATCCCTGAAGGAGAGTTAAGGGGAGGGTACTCAAGCAGTTGCACGACAGCCCTACGGCGGGGCATTTTGGACAACACAAAACCATGTGGTTGGTCACCAGGGAATTTTGGTGGCCTAAGGTGAGGGAAGATGTACGTGAGTATGTAAGAGGGTGCGAGCAATGCCAGCGAGCCAAAGGGGAAAGGCGGGCGCCGGCGGGGCTATTAGAACCCTTACCAACCCCAGAACGACCTTGGGAGGCAGTGTCGATAGATTTTATGACTGATCTGCCGAAGTCCAAAGGGAAAACAGCCATCATGGTGGTGGTAGACCTACTAACAAAGATGTGCCACTTTGTAGCTTGCTCGCATGCAGTCACGGCGGAAGAGACAGCGAAGTTATTTGTAGAACACATTTTTAGGTTGCACGGGGTGCCATTGAGGGTGGTCTCAGACCGAGGAAAACAATTTACTTCCAGGTTCTGGAGGAAGCTCATGAGCTTACTGCAGGTGGAGGTCAATTTTCGACTGCCCGGCACCCTGAAACCAACGGGCAGGCGGAAAGAGCAAACGGTGTCCTCCAGCAATACCTGAGGTGTTATGTCAATGACAGAGAGAATGACTGGGTAGAAAAGTTGGCGCTGGCGGAATTTGCCTACAACAATGCCGAGAATGTGTCCACAGGGATGAGCCCCTTCTTGGCTAATTATGGGTGTCATCCCAGGGCTTTCCCAGGGGAGATGGGGAGAGATGGAGCGTCCCGGCAGCCGAGCATTTTGTGGAAGAAATGGAAGCAATCCATCGTCAGCTCCAACTCAACTTAGAAAGGGCGAAGGAAGAATACAAGAGGCAGGCAGACAAGAACCGAAGGGAAGGTGAAACCATAAGGGTGGGAGATAGGGTGTGGCTGTCAACCCAAGGGTTGCCGTTCAAAGGAGGTTGTAAGAAATTAAGACCCAGGAGGTTGGGTCCCTTTGAGGTCATTCAACAGGTCAACCCAGTGGCTTTCAGGCTCCGGTTACCCAACCACATGAAACTGCACCCAGTATTTCACAGGTCGTTACTGTCACCGTACGAAGGGGGACGAGAAGGGCTGGCCACTCGGGGACCGGTCGTAGAAGAAAGAGAATGCAGCAGCCATGTGGCAGAAATCCTCGACGCCAGGTGGAAGGGGAATCAGGTGGAGTATTTGGTAGCGTGGGAAGGAGAACCGGAGTCAGAAAACACTTGGGTAATGGCTGAAGATATCAATGACGAGGTATTGATAGAAACGTTCCATCAAAGGTTCCCAAGGAAACCTCAGCCTGTGGAGAGGTTCCGGAGGGAATACTTTGGGACCACTGATGAAGGGGAGGAGTTGGAAGGATCCCCGGACTCGGAAGGGGAAGGGGAGATGGACTCTGAGGAGGAGGTGTACTTCGAGACCAGGAACCGCAACAGGTTGAGAGAAGTGTTCGAGACATCGGAAGATGAAGGAAGTTCATTCCGGGTTTTGCCTCCTCACCGCCCGTAGAGGAGGGGGCGAGAGGGGGTGAAGGGGGCCCTGGAGGGGAGGTGGATGTCAGGGAACTGCCATCGGACGGAAGGGAGGTGAAAGGGCTCACACAGGTTGGGAGAGACGCAGCAGCTGAAGAGGGAACCAGCAGGGAGGTGAAAGGGCTCACACAGGTTGGGAGAGACGCAGCAGCTGAAGAGGGAACCAGCAGGGAGGTGAAAGGGCTCACACAGGTTGGGAGAGACGCAGCAGCTGAAGAGGGAACCAGCAGCGGGAGAGGAGCTGAGCTGGAGGGATGGCTCAGAGACACTTCCAGCGAAAACAGTGGGGAGGTTTCAGGACCTCCTGTAAGAACACCCACTCCTCGCCGGAAACTGTCACGCAGAGATTCCAGAAGACGTGTTTCCGTTAAGGAGCTTTTATGTTGGAAGCGATTACGAAAGCAACCACTGTCGGAATCTGCTAGTGACTAGAGGAGCCATGTCTGAGGGGCTCCGTCACAGACAGAGGTTTGTGGACTTGAACAAACTCTGAGG